CAATTAAGATGCTCAGTTGTGGTGTCGGAGGTGCAGATATATTCCTAGGGTCACGAATCCGGACAAACCCGGTTAAAAAATTTATCCGTAAAAACAAAGTGTTTCACTATAAATCCTTTATATGCGTGGCATCGGTTTTATTTTATTTTTCATTTCTGTTTTTTCTTGAGTAAGAGTTTCATTTTTATCACATTGGTATTTTAAATTAAATATGAATTTTTTTTTTCTTTCTAAAAAGTGGACAATTTTGGAATTCTTTTTCACGAAATTTAATTGTCACGCACAACGAGTCTGTGTGCAATATGTCAGCTCGATTGGATCACGGGAAGTGGGTTAAAAAACGACCGAAAGATTTGCACGGTCCTAAGCAAGCAAGCAAGCACGCAAGTGAACTTAATATAAAGGATTTAAAAATGTTTCCGTGCCTGTAAGCATTCCAACTGTGGGACTCATGCAAAGCGGCTGGCTTACACTGAATGAGAGGGCTGACATTAAAACAGCAGAATTCAGCCACGACAGTGGCTTTCTTCACCAATCCATGCAGAACTCGACCAAACCTGTTCCGACTGATCGCTCACTTTTATGTGCGTTTTGAATCGGCCAGGCTATGTGTAGGCTGTCAGAAAGGACGGTCCATTTTTTAGTGGCGCAGTCTTTTTGGGCACACGGCCAGTCCCACGAGTACACGGGTTTTGCAAGTTATGGCTCCCGACTAAAATTCACCGGAGCAAACGTGTCCGAGAAAGTGCGTGCGCACAGAGCGTATTTCTGTAAGTCGGCAGAGAAGAACACTCTCCCCCCCCCCCCCCATGAGGGAACCTGCTAATGTAGGAGGGCTCCCGGGACTGCGGGGACCCCTGAGTGATGCATGCACAAGCTGTTGCTTATACTGGTAGGAACCTCCTGGTTACACCAGCCCACAGGGGATTATTGTGTCCGTCCGTCGTGCAGGGAGGGGCTGGGTGGGGAGGGAGGGGCTGGGTGGGGAGGAGAGGGTGGGGAGGGGCTGAGTGGAGAGGGTGGGGAGGGGCTGGATGGGGAGGGTGGGGCTGGGTGGGGGTGGGAGGGGTGGGGCTGGGTGGGGAGGGGCTGGTCACCCCGTGGTGCCCTTATAAAACTCAACGTTTAACCTACTCACGCCGGCTTGTGCCCGCCCTCACAGACGGGCATATTTTAGGAATACACCACGCCGCCGTTGACCCTGGCCATTGACCGAACAACCCAATGTTCCTACCAGCTCCCTCCGCAGGAATGTGTTTGCCCTCACTTTATAACTTCGAAATAAGGCACATTTTTTCTTTAAAATCGACATCAATCTATACCGTGCAAATACATTTCAAGCAATACACATCTTTGTTGGCTATGTCGACAGCCAGGGCAGGGAATGTTAGCAAGCACACATTAAAGGCTGGCATGGTCCACTAATGGGTGGTGTGGCCGTCACACCAAGCCTGGCTGCATTTGGCTCCACATTTTTTTTTACATTCACGCACCGTGTCGTGCACTCATTTAAGGTGTAGTCGACCTAACGGAGGTCCAGGTGAGTTTCAGATTCCCATTTCCACTCGTATGCACGGTCAGACATCAAGCTCAGGTTACTGGGGTATCAACGCAATGAACGAACCACTACAATACCACGTTGTGCTATCCAATAACGCGGGCACACACATTGACCTGGGCTGTGCCTGGATACATACGTGCCAAGTGTTCGGTGGACTCCAGAGCACTGCGGGGCTCGCTGTACCTTACACTGAACCGAGACGAACGCATCCAGTGTGTGTTTGCGTCATACAGCACAACGTGCTTGGCTGCAGGGGCATCGGCGATATTCGGTGAAAGCTCTGAACACACAAAGATATCACCGCCACCACCGCCACCCCCCTTGCCGCCGCCCACCCAGAGTCGTACATGCAGGCCATTCAAGACGTGCCTTTACCAGAGCAAGCGAGCGGCACATCCCAGGCTGTGTCATAAAACTGTGAAACACGCTCGCTTTGTGAGCAGGGCATTGTCAGCCGTCGAGGTGTTAGCCCATTGGGGGCCGAAGCAGAAATTATTTTTGTCGCCCCCCACCCTCCCTCCATGTCTCTATCCTTCTAATTTAGAAACTCCCAGTGAGATGGCAAAATAGGTATTGACAAGCGATAGGGATGTATCAGGATGAGATCAATTATGGAGAAGTAATAGAGACGAGAGAAGAGAGTTGCAGATGAGACGCCCAGTGCACTTAGAATGATGTCGACGAGGGAGAAATACGTAGTGAGATGAGTGAACAGAGCTGCAGACAAGACAGCCTTTAGAGCCACAACCGTAATTCACTTTGAACGTCAATCAGATTTGTGTAATGTTTATTAGAATAAAAAATCTGAGCTGATACTCCCTTTTACAAAACAATCCGGGCCCCCTTGAGCTATTTGGGGCCATACGCTCTGCTTAGTTTGCTTCGACGTAGCACCGCCACTGACCTCCAGGCCAAGATCGAAGCTCCCCCCCCCCCCACCACATTTCTGGAGTCTGTTCACACCTCTGGCAAACAATCGCTTGCACAAATGGTAGTGAGCCGGTGTTAAAGTTTGCAAGTCCATAAAACAGGGCTGTTAAATTTGCAAAACTGCACACAACCTGGCCATGCGCTGTTTGGGAACCAGTGGGAATGAGTGTTGCGTTATGTGTCGTTGGGTTTTACGTGTGCTGGGAGTAGCCACCAAGGGATTCAATGTTGGAGCCACTGCGCTCTGCAGATTAATCATCTTCCAATGCTCCTCTTGACAACCCTGCGTTTATTGATTTCTTCTGCACCAATTTTCTTCTTTTGAATTGAGCAGTTAAATGTAATAACAACTAAGATGTGTTTACGCTCATGTTAATTTAAATTACCCAACGTATCTGTGACCCGCTGCTGTTGGGGATCAGGGCAATTTACGTTGTGTCCCGGGATAAAATGAAAAGTCACTAACCCATTAGTAAGAGTCCCACAGGGCTTTAGAGACAATGCTGATTGGACACTCCTGATCATGTGACTCAAACGCTCAAAGCACCTTCTGAGCCACCTCTACTCGCTCGCCAGTCCTCCTCGTGGGCTTTTGGTGAAGATCACGAGGGGGAGAGTCCTTTGCTGGATAAAGAGGCCAGCATCAAACGCAGGCTACGAATGCAATGGTTCATTAAACCTGACGCTGCGGTGATCGATGCTCTTTCACCATCATGTAAAATCTCCAATTAGTTCCCTCACCTCCGATTGGCGCAATTGGCTACGTACGGTGAAAAAAAAATCAACGCGTAAAGGATGAAGGTGAAGCCGTGCAATTTCTTGCAGCACGACCTCTCCACTACGTGGAGCTCAGGAGATCTCCCCTGATTGGGGTATTTGGCCTGCTCGCCTAAAACTGGGGAGACGTCTTGATAGAGGTGGGAGTTCCCACACTTTACCCTAGCTCATACGACCTGTCGATCGATTGTTGGGTGAACAGAGCCGGAGAGGGGGGGGGATGTTTAGAAAAAACGTCCCCATTGTTTCAACTGCCGCGCCAGGAGGGCACGGGCGTCAAATGGGTGAGAGAGATGGTGGAGAGTGCTTACTGGTGGTGGTGCCAGGTGGACAGACCTGCGATGGAGTTGGCAAGGACCACTCTTTCCAGGAAGGATTTGCGCGGCGAGCATATGTGCTTACAATCTGGGTCGTGCACATGCAGAGGAAGCCACCCCTAATCACTTCGTGAAACTATGTTCATCCTATGCTATCCTTTAACCAAGGCCATCGCATCTCTCTGGGATTTGAGCGTGCAGGTGCTAATGGTGAAACAGACAACTTCTAATCTACAAAGCTGAAACTGTGAAAAAATTAAACGCTTCTGCTTTCTTTCTTTGCTGAAAATTAACTTAGCCAAATGTGTTAGTATTGTGCTATGCATCATTAATCAGTTTAAGGGGACAGAAAGTGCAATGTTTTCATGACGTGCTCTCGCACGTGTTCTTTTTTCAATGCCGTTGAGATCATCAGCCTGAAAAATATGCGTCTTAGTTGAATTGTTATGTTTTGTTTTTTTCCCAGGGTCAAACTTCCCTGAGCTCAAATTACAAAGATCTTTCCTGTCTGTAAAGGGGGGGGGGGGGGGGGAAGAGGCTCATTACCAAACGCTTCCGACTCACATTTCTGGGCGTCAAACGGAAGGCAGCGGGTTATGCGCTCCCCTTAGTTGATGGACATTTGAAGGAGGCACATCGCGTTGCGACTCTTCAACTTGAAGCCATCGGTGGAATCGCTGATGCGCCCCGGGGTGCGACGGCGTAAGGCGTATCGAGCAGCACGAGTTATGTGCTTGTAACTAGCCTGCTGTGTGATTACAGATTGATCCGATAGAGCGCGCGTGTTTGGGAGCATCGATCTGTACAAGTTTATAAATTAAAAGGTAGCAGGGAAAATCATTGCCGCTCAAATTAGAAGTGAAAATTGAAATTAATTTGGCCATCGATTCGGCAAACAAATCTTGGTCTGGTTACTAAAATATTGAGTGCTTATTAGCACGGCATTGCTGAGGTGCCTGTGTGCGTATCGATGGTGCTAAGATAACCACAGCAGGAATTCACTTGCTCCTGGAGCGATGCAGGGCAGTATACACTCTCAATTCACACATTTGGGAAGGTCCCTCCCATGGCTTTGCTCGAAGCAAAGAGTGAAACGAGCTTAAGCCAAACGCGCGCGTCTGTTATTGTTGAAACTGTCGAGGTAGCCACAGCGTTACTTGATGTATGGGCTGAATTAAACCCCAAGCCAAAGACGTGATTTGTTGATGCGTTAGTAAACTGTGCATTATTTTTAATTCAGATCGTTAACGTTTCCAGCTCTTTTGCCCAAAGGGTAATTTATCTTTTTTGCTTTCTCTATTTGTGTGTCCCTTTTCTCAGCACGGCGGCTTCAGTGAAAGGCCGCACAAAGGGGTTAATAATTTATGGCACGGATACAGCACGCTTAACCCTGCCTATTATCTCTGGGCCATTAGGACCCCGGAGTGATTGAGCGGCTGGGAGCCTGCGCACCCCAGCAAGGGTCGGAGGTCGCAGAGAGCGGCTTGGAGTCAACGGGGGATCCCCTTCGCAGCGAGCGAGCACCGTCGAGGAGGGGGACAGGAGCTCACGACCCGCCGTCTTACAGGGGTCAGGCGACCCGGGCTCCAACGCAGCACGGGCAGCTCCATCGCTTTGCCCAGCGGCCCCAGACGCCGACGCCGCCGCCTCCGCCACCTCCCAGCTGACTGACGGAGCAACTGGGTCGCGTCCGCAGGGCAAGAGGGCTGGGGGAGGTCGACTTGGGACTGCGATGAGAAATGGAATGAAATGCCCTGGCAAATGAACTGACGCGTGCGGGGGAAGTGGTGCAGCAAGCGGAACCTTAAGCAATAGAGGATTCGCTCGCTTCTTGCCTGCATAATCGATAGAGCTTGTGCAAAGATAAACACGATTCCCCCCCTTCGGCTTGGCAACTCAAACGAACAAGCGTGGGATTTCTCGGAGCCGGGATGTGCAGACGGAGTTGATCGCATTTGGAAAGTGCACCCTCAGCAGAGCTGTTGCGGGAAACTGTGGATTTATTCCGAAGTTGGAGGTGAGCCACATCATTTCAACACGGACAGTTCTCAATCCAAAAAACTGTGCGGAAGCCTGATGCACCAATCTCCTCAGCAATTGTACGCTAGATTGCAAGTGACCCTATTGAGAAAAATGTTTTGATTTCCTTTCAAGATATTGTACACGTGCATGGTTAATACATTAATCTACACAACAACAACACAAATACTATATTCAAACACGCTCCAGGCTAAATAAAAATCACGTAAAATATTATGTTGAAACGGAGGTGACGTATGAACGTTCTGAGTGGGGGGGAATTCTAGCTTTTATATACCGCGCGTGGCAGCCACAAAAGAGCCATCGTTCTATTTACCACATGGCATAGAGTACAGTACTCCACGTATAAACAAGACACAATAAACCACTACTCCACATATTAAAATCACCATTACCATTTGATATGGTAGGGTGGTAATGAAAGTAGCCTCATGAAATGTGGAATTAAGCGTTTTAAATGAAATAGGCTTCAATGTGTAAACGTAGCCCCAGTTGGTCTGTTAAACTGTAAGAGAGATTTCATAGCGATACTTTCAGCAGCACTCGAGAGCTCGAGAGCAATGTGTACATGAGTGGTCACTGGGATATAGAGTATCTTGAGACATCGTTAACTTTGACTTTACACAGTGTCATTTTACTATTGAGTTTGCATCTTCATTTTATACGATGAAAATCAACGTAACTGTTACAAATGAATGTAGCTCATTGCCACGGTGACCAGACAAACTCCCAAAGTGAACAAACTCGCACCAAACCCACACTGAAATGCTTAGGCACAGATCTCTATCCCACCTCAACTCTCAATTCTCCACCAGCGGCCAGGCAGCTCACATATCAGCCGTTTCTTAACCCTGCCCAGGTTACGGCAGGGATCGGCTGTGGGCACTCAACCAAACCTTCATTTCTCACGGAATATTCTCCAGGTTGCTGGTAGGCCGGAGTAGGTGGTACATGACCAGTAGCTAGAGCCCCTTAGCACGAATTACTAGATGTCATGTGCCACGTGGCCAAAATATTTTTTGCGGGTCACTGACCCCGGACAGACCTGGCTAAAACGAGGCTCTCTGCGGGGACCCCCCCCCCCCCCCCCCTACTCGTGCGTGCGATCAGACCTCGGGCATGGCCAGCGCTGGAGGAGTTGGCGCCAAGGGCACCGTCGGCGGAGGCTCGTGCTCCAGCCCCGGCGCCGGCGGTCCCCTCTGCGGCTACCCAGTCCCCGTGCCGTACCCCTTCCTGTTCCCCGGCGCCGGCTCTGGTTTCCCGGGAAACTTCGCGCCGCCGCTCAACGGGCACCACTACCACCACCACCACCAGCAGCAGCAGCAACAGCAGCAGCAGGCCCACCACAGGGCGCCGTCGCATCCGCAGCACCCGGCGGCAGCAGCGGCACTGCCCCCGCCACTACCGCTGGGCTACAGCACCACCTCCTCCTCGCCCAGCAGTGAGTGTGTGCCTCCGTGACGCGTGGAGGGTTAGTGGATCGTTGTTGAGATGGAGGGAGGGGGCATTGTAGTGTGTCCACGACAGATGCCCGCACAACTATCAGGTTTCTATAGGTGGCAGTACGGCTAGCCAGTGAGTTTTATTGACCCGTCGTTGTTGTGAGATTCCAAGGTTATTTCGTTTAAGCAGGTAGGGGACTCGTGAGATCACGAGTCTAATTTAGCAAGAGTGACCTGGGGCATTCGACTGCCAGTAGGTGGCGATAATTGCTATGTATAATCCCTGACGCCGGCACACAATGGCCGAATCTTGCGAGTGATTCAGAGTAACATGTTCTGTAAAGCAAACGGCGCATGTTATTACGCTTTGTTACACCCTCGGTATTAATCAGAGCGGCCGGTGAATGCAAACTACACTACCGCTGGGCCACATCACCGTCACAGTTATCCTCTCGTAAGGGTTGGTTGGTTCGCTCTGGTCAAAAGTGGAAATCCTGAAGGTGGTGGTCAAATATTCCAAGGAGAAATGTCGTGAAAAAAGTCTGAAAAATATTCTCGGTCAATTAATTATATTGATATTGCTGAGATCGCCTGCAGACCTGCAATTGAACGCCTGCTCAAGTTTGTGAAATTTTAAACATAAAACTTGGGCCGAAAAGTGCTTTTGTTTATCCTCAACGGAGACAAATCTCTGCAGCATAGTGTGGAACAAATATCTGATTTATAATTCATGGTGGGGTAAGTATGTTTTTCCCCCCACATTAAGTAACAAGTCGTAAGCTATCACTACACGGGCGATACATTAATTAATCACTACCATGCCGTCATAACATAGCATCCAACGCACAAGCACGTGATAATTGCAGAGATATGTTGTATTCACAGGTTCTACCTAAATGAATATAATTTACAGTGTATTTTCAAATTGCCATAGGCAGATCCCTTTTAAACAACAATGCGTATATGATGACGATTGCTCAACAGTATTTGAGTGCATTTTGTTTGTGCATAATGAGTCAGCAACAAACGATTAATCTCTTGGCTTAAATATTTAACCTTGTTATTTAAATCACATTTTCTAAGAACATAAGTTTCCGAGAGCCTTCACCTCAGTTAATCAGCTTAATGTGCTTTCGCACCCGGGTCCGTGTGCTTTGGTTAATAACTCTACCAGCACGCAAGGTAAAACCTTCATTACCCTCACTTGCAAATTAAGAAAAGTACAAACTGGACTACGTGATACTCCTTGGTTATTTCGGTAAAGTCACGTAGGTATAAAATAACACTCCCCTCCCCCTAACCCCCTCCCTTCACCCTCCCCCTCTCTTACCTATATAACCTCTTACCACGGCATTTCTCTCCCACTTCAGCAAAACAAATTCTTGCTGTGGTTTTCCCACCTGATGATAATTGCTTGTGTTGCGATCGAAACGTCGTGATTTAATTTATTTTATTTTCTACCTACGTGACTTTACCGAAAGAACCAAAGAGTATGGATCCCTGCAGTCACGAAAACTTCAAATCTAGATTGGACTACGTGATAATTATCAATCGGCATGAATAAAAAAGTACCGAACGCTGTTGCGTTACGCCGTGGCAGAACACCCACATGTCTTGAGGTTTGAGTCCAAATCTTGGATGGGGGGTCGACTCAGCCCCACTTTGAGGGAAATTTTCGGATGCAATGGTGCCCAGTGTAGGAATGTGGAATTTCTACCCATGGCTGAGGATGAAGAGTGGGATGAGCACCGCTGGCATGAGAACGACGACACTGTGAATATTTATCAAACGCAGTCTTTCACATATATACACACACACACACCGCGTGTATGCCGGACTTTGTTTTGCTTTGCCTTTGTAATTTTTTCGACCCAGGTCACTCTTCCAAATTAGACTCATCCTTGGTCTGTTGAGTTCTCACCTGGTTAAACAAAATAAACTTGATTTGAACATGCGCACGGTTACAACACGCCTGCTAATCATTGGCTGGTGCTCTATCCTCGAGTTGAGCACGAGGCACATTGCGTCCCATCCTGTGACTCGCTCGCCGTTGGCTAGCGTGGAACTGCCTGTGCTCACCGCGGCACTTTCAAGCCCCCCCCCCCAATGAATTAGTGATGAGAGCTGGGAAGGTGCCCAGCCTCCAAGTCACGCAACAACGCAACAAATAAAACGGCCCAACAATAAATGTTTCATACACAAAGGGGACCGGGGGTGGTGCGGTGAGCGTTCCCTTTTGGAGTAACGCTCGTCTCTACACGTAGAGAATAATAATGGGCCTGCCAGCACATCTCCCGCAGGTACACGCTGGCATGCCTTGGCTACAGGCGCTCGTTTTAAAGCAGTGCTTAAAACATATATGCATTTTTATTTATAAGATGAGTGCCAGTGTCTTTTCAGTCCTCAATCCCTCCATTAAAATACTGTACTGTATATTTAATGGTTATGTATAATTTGGGCTGATTTAATGTTATGCATCCTCACACTAACTGAAATATATCAATTTCTATATTTTATACTTATTCTGGAAATCTTCGTAAAATCTCACGGATCGTTTTCAGGAGGGTCTTGCTTGAGATGTTTGGCCAATTCCCTTTTGAGCTTTTTTTTTTATTCAGTGTCTGAATAAATCTGAGTACGTACATGGAGAAAGCTCACGGGAAGAACATTCAAAGTATGCACGTGTGCCATCAGTCGGCTTGGTGTCACCTGGCTCAATACTTCTCACGAAGCGACACGGCAAATGATGCCGCGCTGAAAAATGAAACAACTAATTTGACAATTACCAGCTGTGTGATATGTGAACTGCCTGCAGCCTAATCAGTGGGCAATAAACGTCAGGAGTGGGACTCCAAGAGGAATGACGCCCCCCAAGTCCCTGGGGAGCCCCAGCCTGGGCCTAGTGCGTTGTGCTGTGTGGGACGCCCATTGATTTAGCAGTATGGGAGCAGTGCACATTGGCCATCACTGATTACAGGCAAAGTAAACGCGGCTAGCTTGGTGGTGTCCCGTCTGGCGGCATCCTGTTTGTCTGCGGGGCTAAACATTGGGTTAACAGCCACGCACTCCACCGCCCCCCCCCCCCCCCCCCCTTGGCGTGACCCTCATCTACCTACGGGCGTTGCCATTTCTATCTTAGCGAGGCGTCTCTTTGGGAGCTCAGGGTTGTTTGCAGACTGTCGAGTGTTCCGGTAAATATGATTTCAAATGTATGAACTATGTTGTTGGTGAGGGCATTTGGCCATTGAACTGTATTTTCAGGCACAGTGTAGCAAACTCGAATCGCAATGCTCTACACCGCGACCCAAAAGCCGTTGATTTCATTGCTGGGATGAGCATCAGCTTGACAGATAAAGTACGAATTAGATAAAGATGAAATTAGAACAGTTAATCACATGAGACTGCCGCACCATGCGCTCATTAGAGACACATTGGAAACATTAATGTGGGAAGAGCTGACATTTCTGCCTTTATCAGTCATTCTGGAATGATAGAAGCCGACTTCCTTTAGCGTTCCACATTTACATCATAAGATCACACACACACACACAGCTACCCCACAGCTCTATGCAAACTTTACACGTGTAGCCATGCACACACAAAGTGATATTTGTCTACTATAATAAGAGGAAGTGAAATATGTTTCATAAAAGGGGCTGTAAATGTACACGAGGGCACAGGCGCAGCCCGTGAAGGAATTAAGCCCCCCCAATTTCCACGGAGTGCAGCAGGAGGCGCGGATAACAAGTCCCAGCGAGGCTTTCAATTTCAAGCCGGTGATCACACACCACAAGATATGTGCTGGGAGACAGATGAATGATGGCTCTGTTTGGGCATTGTGTTTAAATCGGGCTAAACGCTTTAAAAAGGGACCTAATGCATTAGTTTGCACTTTGAGAATATTCAATATGAACCTATAAAAGAAACGCGCGGAGTGTGGCAAGCTAATACAATTAAGCGTAATCACAGTGTGTATATTACATTGAACGAAGCGCGTTCCTTTCTGGTGAGCAGTGGAAAAGCTGGTGGCTGCTCTGCCAATGATTTGCATGATTTCAGGTTTTTTAATGACACTGGCGAAACGGCGTAGAAAGTTTTGACAACAAATATATTTTTGATTACTTTATTTCCCTTAAGCATGCTGCATCACCAAACTAAGCAGACCCTTTATATGGCCAGAGCAGTTATATTCTGCAGTCGCAATGCAGACAAACTTCCTATTTCTGTAATGTGTAAAGCAACACAAATTTAAGTGTTTAGAGGACATTTGTAAGGTGAGCAAAACGAGCGAAGTGCATTTAAGTTTTGTTTTTGTAAATCGGTTTCCGTTGCTAATTGCAGCTGTTCCGCAAGCGGAAAGCAGCCCCGTTTTTTTTGAACGCTTCAATTAACCAACATTAAGCGTTGCACTTCGCTTTAAAAAAAGAGATGGCACCGCGATATCCACGCTTGGTCCTAGGGAGCTCCTAATAGCCTCGTTTAGAGCGAATAAAACAGCAATTGAACCTGGACAAAAGAGGGAGCAGCCATTAACTTGCCAGCTGCAGCAGTTTGCTTTCAAGCGCTTTTGCTCCCTTCCTTGCGCCGTTATTTATGCCTGGGCTGTAAATTTCGGGTCTGTTTGTCCCCTCTTGGAGACAGAGTGAGCAGCAGAGGGGTGGAGCTATGCTTCCCGTGCTCTACAGGGTGTATTGGGAGCGGCGGTGGCGGTATTTGTCAGTGATCTGTCCGCCGCGTGGCAGAGTTGCGTTTGTTGGGGCAGGATTTATTACGGCAGAGACAATAATGGTGATTAACCACTTACAAGCCGATGATCTTTGACACACTCAATCTTTTGGCGTAGAAAACCGGCCGTTGCACAGAACTGGAGTGCAACCACAACCCCTCATGAGCCACCAAACAGATCCCGTTCGCGGGCACGTTATGGCAATTTTCCAGCGGTTCTCTTGAAAATGGTGTCTATAATAATACAACTGGGTTTTTACAAAATATGTAGGTA